AACTCGAAATATTCGTTGTAGACCCCATTAGGTATATATATTCATAATCAGCATAAACAACAAGTCAATTTAACTATGTCCGTTTGTCTATATCAATTGAAATCTGGGAAGAGGTTACAATTTTGAAGATATATAAAAGAAATATTTGTTATAGTCCAAAGATGTTTATTTCGGATAGTTTTACCACCTTGCTAAAATATTCCGCGTAGGCTCATCTTTTGGTATGTAAGGGTACCTCCTGGTGTCCGATGATTTTTAAAGCTCCAAATCAGCTGAAATTTGATATTTTGGTCACTAAATAGGTAGTTTAACTTTATTCAAAAAATACTAAATGTAGGACCACAGTTTTGGTATAGTCCACATATAACAAAAGCTTCTAATTATTGTTGATTAGAAGGTTTTAGTACCAATTTTCAACCGATTTAGTGGGCAGTTCATTGGTCCGAAAAAAATCCAATATACATATCCCCTAACAGGTGAAAGCTCTACAATATATTCGTTACACCGTGCGACAAAATTTAATTTTTATAAAAAAAACAAGAAAAGTAGCAGTCGGTTTTGCCGAAGGATATATACCTTCCGCCAACATCCGTTTATTATAACATCAGCCACATGGCTAGAGGCGAAATAACGGTTTTAGATCCTATGTCTCTATGGACCAAATCCGTTTCAGGACATTTGGAGTCGTTCTAGCGATGTCTGTTAGTCCGTCGAAGGGAGTATCCGATTTGATCCAAACTTGGTACATCGTAATATTATTATAAAACTTAGAATGAGTTCGGAGATGGGCAATATCGGTCTACTCCTACTGGTACCTCCCCCACAAAGGGTCAACATTTTGATGTGGCACATCGCAATATTTCCTTCAACACAAGATCTTTTATAAAGGTGGTGATTGAACCACCAAAATGATTATAAAATCCGAAATATGCATACGGTTCTCTTTATATTTCACACATCCCATTTTGGGATATATCAGTTCACTCCTTATGGTACCTTCCCCACAAAGGGTCACAATTTTGAATATTTATGAAGCTCATAAAACCCCAAATTAACATCCGATGCCATTTAGACTAAGTACATTCCAATATATCCATCAACACAAGATCTCTTATAAAGATAGTAGAGATCGTGCCATTTATTCTGGTACCTCCCCAGAGGAACAAAACGCTCAAAAAAGGAAATAATCATCCGCTTTCTACACTAAATTTTAATATTAATTTACGGTATTGAAGATTAACCTCACATATCAACCACACCTGACAATAAGTGATTATAATACCAAATTTCAGATTTCCAGCTCCATCCCTTTTACATATACCCAATGTAGTACCATTTAGTACTTTTCTAACTTTTTAATACATATTTCAAAAATCACTTCTTAATATCAACCCTACACACTAACAGTGGCCCCAATATCTACGTTTCTAATTTCCAGCTCCATCGGTCGAAACAAATTGTAATATAGTACAGTTTATACACTTAGTAAATATTTCAAAAACCACCTCCTTTTAGTAACCTTAGTTCCCCAACTTAATCCTTATACTAAATATCTACATTTTAGCTCTATCCGTTCACATAATAATACAAAAAAAAACCTTTGGTGCGTCTATTCTACACCACATCGGCGATCTTCATCACAAATTTCTGAATTCTACCTCTATTCGTTTGATCATTGCAATGAAATAAATTTTTATTTTATAGTTTATGTCCGTCTCCTGGTTCTAAGTTACCTCCTCACCATATTTGAGCCTATTAAGCCGTTCTTGATTTATAGATATGTATAGTCGATATATGAATGTCCGTCCGTCCCTACGGTTCATGTATTTTTATGAAAAAATCCATGCCACATTTATGGACCAATTTAGATAAAATTTTACACAGATCATTTGTTTGGCCCAAGGACGAATCATGTTGAAATTGGAACATAATCGACCAAATATTAGATATAACTTCCATATATAACTTCATCCAATACAAATTGGCTCCATTCAATTGAGGCTATATTAACTTTATCAGTCCGTTTGTAACTCCTCGAAATACTGATGTTATCTTGCGAACGAATTTAGATAGAGGGCTAACATTTTGTGACAGTGAACAGGTTAAGTTTGTAAATGGGTCACGTCGGTCCACGTTTTCGTATAGTCCTCATGTAATGTACCTTTTTCAATTCGGTATTTTGATGATTTTAGCTATATTATTCGCCTGAATTCTTTCAAATTTCTCATGTGAAGGTTTTATTGTGTACCACAGCCTTTGACAAAATTGCGTATGCAAGTCCACGTCTTCGTATTGTCCCCATTTAACTATACCTACCGATAATCGATATTTTGATGATTTTAGCGACATTATTCGCAGCAATTGCTTCAAAATTCGTATTTGAAGTTCGTAACGGTACCACAGATGTGACATAAAATTGTCTATATAGGTCCATTTCTTCCTATAGCCCTCATGTAACGGTACGTTATTTTGACGATTTTAGCGGCATTATCTTCGTATAACCCCCATATAACAGTACTTCCCTATATTCGCTATTTTGATGTTTTTTTTTTTTTTTTTTTTTGAAAAATGTTTCAAGTTTCGTATTTCAATATCGTAATGGCCTATGACAAAAATTGCCTTTGGAGGTCCACGTCTTGGTATAGAAACCAATATAATTGTAACTCCCTATATTCGGTATTTTTAAGATTTCAACAGAATATTTTATTTCTTTTTTTATTTTATTTGAAAATTTCCAAATTCCTTCTAATAACCCGGCCGAACTTACTCCTTTTTTTCTTGTTTTTTTTTTCAACTAGTGTTTATTTTTGGAATGGTAACGCTTAGCTTTTGTCTAATATAAAAGATACACGTTTGAACAACGCTCGGAAATTTTGCGGCATTATGTTGAAGAATGTGTGGGAAAATTTCGGATTCGGATTTTGGAAGAGGAGATGCAGCAACATTATCCCATTTGGGACACAAAAATCTCGACATTGAAATGTCGATGCACCCATATTTTGGACCAGAGTATGCCTCTATTGGGCCATTATTTCTTGGAAAAAAAATCGAAGAGGTTGATTTTGGAAACGTTTGCTTTCAACAAGACGACTCTGCGTGCAACAAAGCCGAAGCTACGATCAATAAAATAAATAAATGTTGCGTACCCTTTATTTTATGTGGATGGCCGACAAAGACCAAACATCAGCATATTATAATTATCAATCATAGACTCGAACAATTTTCGGGCAAATAATATTCTTCGAAAATTATTTTGAACATGTCAGTATAAATGTTAATGTGCGTTGAGACTTCGGTCGCCAATAAGGGGTCGTCGTTCAAAACCAGCATTCAGGGGTTATGGTCAAGCGGGATCAATTTTATGAACATGATATTGGAAAGAACCTATTTTCAGGAATTGGCTGTGGTGAAAATAGGCTATTAATATTTTAAAAATTTGAAGGAGCGTGGCGCTTCCTACTTGCTTCTCTATTTAAAAACGCTTTATATTTCAAGAATTTCAATTTGGGCGTAAATGGACCGACCACACATTTTAACATTTGTTGTACTTAATCGAAATAGCGGTACATTTTCATATTATTGTCAAACTTAGATCGAATTCGGAGATGGGCAATATCGGTCCATTCCTCAAAAGGGTAAAAATTTGGAAACATTATAAATCGTTTTAAATGCTAAATAACCATCCGATCATCCGAATTTCACACATCCCAACATTCTTGATGACACATGATATGGCGTGAAGATGGAATATATCGGACCACTTTTTCCGGTGCCTTCCCCACAAAGGGATCAAAATTTTGAATAACAATGAAGCTGAGAGCATCCGATTATTTTCAAACTTAGCCCATCTAAATATTTCTATCAGCACAAGATCAGATGTGAAGATAGAATATGTCGAATCAGTCCTTCCGGTGCCTTCCCCACAAAGGGATAAAAACTTTGAATAACCATGAAGCTGATAGCATCCGCATAAAAAATTTGAATAACCATGAAGCTGATAGCATCCGATTATTTTCAAACTTAGCCCATCTAAATATTTCTATCAACACAAGATCAGATGTGAAGATAGAATATGTCGAATCACTCCTTCTGGTACCTTCCTCTCAATGGATCGAAATTTTGAATAATTATATCGCTCATAAAATGCGAAATAAACATCAGTTTCTCTTCAAGTTCCACATATCCCAATATTTTTAATAACACAAGTTTTGGCGTGTAAATTATAGGTATAGGCCTACACCATCTGGTACCTCCCCCATAAAAGTGTTAAAATTTTAACTACTTATATCTTTCATAACTTGCGAAACAAGTCAGCGATTCTATTCAAACTTGGTAGATCTAGAATGAATGATTGACGTGATTGTTATTTGCATATATGTATGTGTTTATGTGGACCAGCGACTCGCTTGCATGCGGACTATTAAAATTAAAAATATTCACCCGTGATCCTATTCTGATCCTAACCATAACTACATGCTGTGACGATCTGATCATAATTACAACCTGTATAGATGAATCAACTCGGCTCGGCGATATAGGAAAATCGATATTATACATCGTGCGTCTAAGGCCAATATTTCGAGGTGTTTCAAATAATACCCACACTACATAAATTGGTACGGTACAAAAACATCAAATCTAACATTTTTTTACATTTCATACTACAATGCTTATTTGTTTCAGATTTGTAAGTTTTGAGCAAAACAATACCAATCAGTTACGATTGTCATCTCTGCCGTCCCAATATTCTTCCAGCTGTTTATCAGTGTAATACTCGTATTTCATTTCATGAAAGTTCATTCAAGTGTAATGACCGACAGCCACCTTTACCCAATAAATCGCCAGCATCTCTGCCGGCTCTTTCCCTACCCGCAACAAATTAAACACAACAAAGATTTTAATTTTTGACAAGACAAAAAAATGTCAACACTTTCGCTTGCTGAAGTGCTGAATTTTTTAATTTTATTGAGGTTTTGTTTTTTTGTTTTTATTTTTTTCTCTTCATCATTTTTTGTTTTTGCATTTTTTTTCAATCTTATGGCACTTTATGTCAATAACTTATATAAAAAATAATTAAACAAATTTAAAAAAAAATATATAATAATAATTATTATAATTAAGACAAGACTGTGGGGGAAAACAATAATGAGATTACAAAAGGAAACGTTAAAGGGCGGGTTGTTTTGGGAGGGAGGACAAGTCTTATAAACTAAATTAATTTACAAATTAACTGAATAATGGGTGGGGGCGAGCGGGACGAGGAAAGAGACCTATATAGTATGAGTCTTATCATTATATGTTTGTATGTTTTGCATTTAGTTTTACAAGGAATTTTTGTACATTATTTTGTAGTTTTGTTTTGTAATTTTAAAAATTATTGTCATAATTGTTGTTGTTCTTGTAATTTTTCTCTCTACTTCGTCTTCTTCGAGAGTGTGGAGTTTTTTATTGTCTTTTGTGTTTTCTTGTAGAAGCCATCAAAGAAAATTTAGTTTTAAGTTTTGACAAAGCTTTAGTTTAAATTTTATCAGTAACTTGTTGTTGTTTTAGTTTACTTTACAAATTAAGCTTAGATTGAGTTTTTAGTTTTATTTGTTTTCTAAGAAAAAAAGCAAAATCACATTTAAATAAATTTGTTTTTAATATCATTATTATCATCATCATCATTTTGTATGGTTTTGAGCTTATAAATATTATAAATCTTGTGAGCTTGAAGAATTCATTGAAAGCTTTTGAGGTGTGGAGAGCTTTAAAAGCTATACGGAAAGTTTCATTAAACCTGGAATTTAAATCTTTTGTTTAAGCTTCGGAGCGAGGAAAAAGCTCTCCCTTTCTCTCTTTATTTCCCAAAAGCTTTCAACAATTTCTCTTCTTTTTTTAAATTTCAGTCCAAAGAAAATAAATTATTTTCTTTGTTTGTGTTTTAAGGAAACCTAAATATTTCAGACTCTTTTTTGATTTTGTTGTATGTGTGTGTGTGTGTGAAGGAGAGAAACATTTACTTCTCTCCATCTTCTTTCTTTTTGCGTATCTTTCCCTCCGTTTGTATGGTGGCCGTGACAACATCAAAACAATCCGCAATCGAGGGTTCCGACTGATCTGGACTGTAGTCATAGCCAGCCATGCGCGATAATGTCAGAATATAGGAACAGGCCACTCTTAACACAGAGAGCTTGGAAAGCTTTTGATTGTTGGAATAGGAGGGTACAGCTTGGCGCAGAGTTTCATAGGCCGCCGAGATGGTATGGACTCGGGATCGCTCACGGGCATTGGCCTCGATACGTCTCTCTCGAGTCATATTCTTGTAGTTACGCTGCTGGGGTTTCGATGACGACGAGGAGGAGGAGCATGATGCAGCAGCATTTTTTGTGGTATTCATTGAGGTATTCAGTGAGGAGCTATCTTCATGCGAGGATGTCAATGACAAGGCTGGCGTGGGCACCAATGTTATGCCGTTGTTATCATTGCAGGGTATTTTGGGTGACTTCTCAAGGCTATCACGATTGGCAAATCTCTTTTTGGGTGTTAGATTTTTGAGACTTTTCACCTCAGCCTCATTGGGGTATGCTTCTTGTGGGGGTTTTTTGAGCACCAAGGCCAAAGGTTCTTCTTGTTCCTGAGGTAATTCATCGCTGAGCTCTTCTTTGGGCAGACGATGTAACGTGGTAACTCCGGGATGACGTACAAACACCTGGGCTGGATTTGGCATTAATTCATGAGGTAATATTTGACTAGGATCCCATTTTGCTGTGGTGGCCGGTGGTGAGGGCAAGGGGGCCGGGGGTGATGTCAAAACCACACCCGAGTCCGTGGTGGATGAGTAACGTATCCTCTTCTTGAGTGGGCCATTTGATTGTGAGGCCGATGGCGATCTCTCGGTTTCGTTGGCCTCACTTACAACCTTAGAGGGTTCGGAACTTTTGCGTTTATTGCGCACCAAAGAGATGGGTGAACATTTCACCTCCACCGAATCGTCCGATGAGTTGTCTGTCACAATGGCTGGACTATTGGGCGCCAGGCGCAAATTATCCATGGAGAAATCATCACCACCCTCTGAACTGCCGGAACAAAAGCCAGCATCACGATCATTTGAATGGGGAGAACCTGAAAGACAAAACAAAATAGTCAAAAATTAGTAAATCATCAAAACACAAACAATTTTGGGGGGTATTAAAAATGCAAAATTTTTTGTATCGGAAATTAACATAATCTCGAGGCATTTATTAAATTTGTGACATTTCGCCCACGCTTTATCAATGAATTGATGATTGCTAGCCGGTTTTATTGGCGTAAAAGCTCATCATCGCTAGCTCACACACTTGTCTGCTAGAGCGAGCGAACAATGGGATTTATACATTTTAAAGCCATTAATTCGAATTTATGAACCGTTTTGTTTTCAGACTTAATTTTCGAGTTGAGTTTTGAACCTGTCTTAATTAAAATAAAAAAAAAACAACAACAAAAATTGTTGTGGTTGTGGCAGGATTTTGGATTTCTCATTGGCAAAGGTTTGGTGGGAAACCGCAAAACATCAGCACTGCCGAAAAAAACAGAGTTTCAGACACCACTGAACAAAAAAAAAAAAAAAAACAAACAACAACAATGTCATCATCATAAAAATCGGTTTTAATCAACTGGTTTTATGACCCCTTTTTTCAGATGATGAATATTTTTGTTGTTGTTGTTGCTGCTGTTTTTTCCAAAGGTTTACAATTTCACATTTATTTAATTTTTTGTTTTGTTGGCTGTCAGTGCTGGAATATTTGTTGACGTACATTTAAACAAATGAGCTGGTTCTCGATTGCAGAATGCTTTTTTGGGGTGTTGGTATTTTTTTTATTGTTGCTGTTGTTGTTGTTTTTTTGTAAATTTTTGTAAAACACCAAAAAACAACAACAGCCACACCACTTTGTTTTTTTTTTCCTTCTTATGCATATTTTTCAAGTTCAACGAAGCCATTAAACTTGTTAACCTTACCAAAACAAAAAAAATGCACAGTCAACCACCAAGTCGAACCGAAAATACACCACTGCAGGAGTATTTGTTGGTGTCCAGGTTTTCACCTGAATATACACATTGATTGGCAATATTATGGCATTACTGCCACGTTAATACAGAGAAGAAGAAAACTGTGAAAAAATGACTTTGCCTTTCTTCATGGCTGTTGCTGCTGCGTTTTTTTTTTTCGATTTTAACCTGACGACATACTTTTTCACTTATTTGAAGTTATTTACATAATTGTTGTTGTTGTTTTTTCTTATTTGCTTATGTGGTATTGACTTGCGTTTCAAAAATTGCATTTTTTCTTGATGTCACCACAATTTGGTTTACTTGGTTTTTGAGGTAGAAGAACGGACTTGGAATGTGCTAGAAGGGATCGGAGTCCAATATTTAATTTGTTTCAAATTTCAAAATTTTCAATTTTGTAACAATTTATTTTTATACATTTTCCGTTGGGCCCGAGACTTTTCAGCTTTGTTCAAAAATCATTTTAAAATCTCCAATACAAAATGTTGATTTTGTAACCAATTGTCCGTAAAAGCTGATTTTTCTCTGAAGCCCGGAATTTTTCAGCTTTGCTCAAATTTCATTTTAAAGCGGCCGGATTTTTTTCAATCGGTCTTAAAAAACCTTTTTGTCATTTTATCATCAAAAAGTGTCATTTTTTAAGAAGACTTTCCTTTTTAGTGGCGAGGACCGGAACTTTTCAGCGTTGCGGAAAAAAAAGTTTTCTACCAATATAATTTTTTTATACATTATATCAGAGACCATCTAAATATAAAATAACACATGATTAACTTCTGATTTCCTATCTTAAATATCCTTTTATAATATAAAAGTCTCTTTAGTGGTGAGGACCGGAACTTTTCAGCCTTCCTCGAAAACTCATTCCAAAACACCAAATGTGTAAACTTTGGCCCAGATTCTATGTAAATGTAATATAATTGACCACAAATCTTGAATTCTATAGTGATTTGTTTGTAAAGGCCGTATTTTCGGTTAGGCCCGAGACTTTTCTGCCTTGCTGAAATAAATTTTTAAAATTTTCCGATTTTTTCTACTGATCTCAGACAATACCAAATAGCATAATCTTTACTAAACATTGTCTCTTTTTGAGAACACTTGTCTTCTCGTAACGAAGAACACATGTCTTTTCGTAACGAAGGCCGGAACTTTTCAGCCTTAATCAAAAACACGTTTTTTAACTTTACATTTATAAACTTTGGACTATTCTAAATTTCGACTATCTAAATTTAACATAATTGACTCCAACTCTTGAATTCTATAGCGATTTGTTCGAAAATGCCGTATTTTCGTTTAGGACCGGGACTTTTCAGCTTTGTTTAAATATTATTTTAAAACTCCCAGATTTTTTTCTACTGACCTTAGATGATGCCAAATAGAATGATCTTCAATAAACTATGTCACTTTTTTGAGGACACTGGACTTTTAGTAACGAAAACCGGAAATTTTCAGCCTTCTTCAAAGACACGTTTAAAAACACCAAATATTGCAATTTTGAACCAGGACATTTCTAGATCATTACAGATCACTAATACAATAGTCACTTGTCAAAATATACAAAATTTTCTGTTAGGACCAGGACTCTTCAGCTTTGCTCAAAAATAAATTAGACTTCCGGATTTTTTCTGGGGCCATAAAAAAGTCAAAAAACATTATTTTAGCAAAAAAAATATTTTTTTAAGAATGCTTGAATTTTAGTTGGATTTTCCCGTAAGGCCCGATACTTTTCAAATGAAATGTTATAACTCCTCGATTTTTACAAATGACAGTTTTTAGTCAAATATTGCTTTTTTGGTGGCGAGGACCGGAACTTTTCAGCCTTCCAAAAAACCCGTTTAAATTTCAATTTTCAATAAATTTAATTAGAATCAATCTGAATTTAATAAATTTGACCACTGACAGATAATTTTGTAAAAATTTGTCGGCAATGGCTAATATTGTTAGTGGGCCCGAAACTTTTCATCTTTCTACAAATATAATTTGCTGTTTAACAAATTTTTATGATATATTTTTGCATGATAAAGTCAATTTTTAAAAAAAAAAATTGGAAAAAGTTTATGAGAATTATTTGCGGAGTAACAAAATTCTTATCTAACTTTCGTTATTACATTTTCAAATTTAATATTAAATTTAACATTCCCTCTTCTCATTTATTTCCACAATTCAATGGTCATCATGTTATGGTTATGGTTGTTGTTTTTGTTGTGCAATTATATGGAATGCGCTCATATGCAATCAATTAAAATGCAAGAACAAAATGTCAATAATAGCTGGCGCCACCAGTCATTTGTTTGAATTTATTTCTTGGATTCGCAAAAAAAACAGCAATAGCCACACCCCTCTCCACCCCTCATTAAATTGCCATGTCATGGTTAGAAATCTTCGCTTTACTCAATATTTATGGCAAATTAAATGGACGGAAGCAAAGGAATTTGTTGCTTTCAAATCAATGGAAAATTATTTGTTATTTCTAAGTGGCCGTTTCAGGCAGTCAGCAGCAGCCAGCCAGCCAGTTGGACGGTTCACAATATATTTCTTCATTCATAAAATCGAACGAACACATGGTTGATAAGAAGATTTTGATATTTTGAATTTCCTAAAATTAAACTTTAAATAGAATTCAACAAAAATAAATAGAATTGAAAAAAATGATGTGATGTTTTAGCATGCGTCCAGAGAGATAAGACAGATTATTTTTTATGGAGGCTGGAGAGGGGTCATTTTTAGTAGAATACGTGATGATAGTAAATAAATCTTGAAAATGTGAAACTTAAATTCAAATACTATTTTTAATACGCATATACATTTTTGTGGAGGAAAACGAACTCATTGTCTGTGTTCGAAGTCCAAAGAAGTGTGGGAACGCCGAGTCAAGAGGTTAGATTGTTTCAAATGGCCATGAGGCAAATCATGTGTTTGGTTTTGGAGAGATTAGGGAGAGAAGTCTATTTCGTAGTTTTTTTTTTTTTTTCAAATATAAAAAATGAAGAGAAAGGAACAATCCAAACCAGGTAGCCAGAGCTGACCTCAAAATTAAAAAAGCAACAACAAAACAATGGCACATTTAATCAATGTTTCAGTTTTTTTTTGACACTCTTTTATCCCTAATAAATAATTTTTGAAAAAAAAAAAAACAAAATCCTAGAAAAACACCTGCCTATTGGAAACCTTTTTTCATCACAACAATCCCATCATCCAGCCTCCCTTTGCGGAGACAGGAAATGAATAGAAGCGGGTTTAGGGGTTGATTGCATCATTGTCAAGATCAATGGATGCTGCTGCTGCTACCAATCAAGTGGCAACAAGTGATTATTTTCACATCATCAATATCTTTTTTTTTTGTTTTTGTATCTTCTTGATGTTGTTGTTATGTATGTGTGTGTGTGCATTACGTGACCTGATCCCTTACAGGTGTTAAAATTGTTAACAATGTAAAAGGTCAATTCGAAACGAATTGCTTTCTTATCTTGTTGTTTTTCTTGTTCTTGCTTCTGATAAACCTCCCCAGATTTTGATGGCTATCGGAGATAGTGTGGGAAGGTTTTTATTTTTTAATTTTAAAATTGAGTATTTTTCAAAAGATAAATTTTTTCCAATTTAATTTGAGTTGGTGAAGGAAAATTTTTTGATTTCATTTTTGGAGAATTGTGTCGAAGATTACGATCTGGTTTAAGGGGAGAAATTTCTTTATATTTGGTTGAAAACCACAGGTGGCTATCGTTAGACCACTCCAGCATCTAAGTGTGAATAAATCTTTTCTTTTTCCGATTATTTTGCTTTCATTCAATAAAATCTAAAAAAAAAAAAATGTTGTTGTTGTATATTGTTGACCTGTTATATTTATTTTACTTATTTGGTTAATAGCTTGGCTTAAGGTCATTAAAAAACTATGTTTTTATTTTTGAATTTTTCCTTTTTTATTCATCCAATATTTCGATTTCCTCCGGAAATCATCTTCAGGGATATTTTTAAAGTAAAAAGCTCGTCTATTGAGTTTAAATGTCACTATCAAACTCACTATAGTGACATTTAAACTCAATAGACGAGCTTTTTACTTTAAAAATATCCCTGAAGATGAT